TTTCTCAAACATTACTACAATAAATACTAGTCTCCTGGGGTTTTCATTACCTGAGTATTAGAAACACCACTAACACTAAATTTATACTGGAGAGAGTAGCAGAAAGTAAATTTAAATCCATCAGTTATGGGCCGATCCAGTAGAGTCTTACAAGTCAGGGTAGGCTTTGGAAATTAAATTAATAAGTACTTATTCCCAAATCAGTTTCTCCTTTAAATATTCTTCATAGGTATATAAATACATTGTAGCAGCACTGATGTGACAAAGAGGCTTGGGGAAAATATCTCTTTTTTATAAATTTTGTCTTGATTCTTCTGTTTATTTGGTGGAAAAAATTTATTTAGGCCAATGCTTTGTCATTTTTAAGCATTGCATTTTTTAATAAATACTTCTTGGTCTAAGCCAGACTCCTTACAGTCATCAGTATCAGAAGACTGGCTCGGCCCTTTGCCTCATTTTCTGCCTTTGGAGCATGCCAGCGTGTCTTCCGAGTCAGTGGCAGCCGCTGCATATGCGACAAAGGATTTTCTTCTTTCTTCCTAAATAAAATGAAAAATCGAACTACTTCCCCAAAAAGGGGATGGGAAAGAAATGAGATTAGCCTATTAGTAAAGTTAGGCTTTAATAATACTTTACAGAGACTTTTAAAAATGATTTTTCTAACATCTTATTCCACTGAAACTACTTACCAAACTAAATAAATACTATTAGTCCTTACCAGGTTTCACATGCCTCTGAGGCCACTGACAAAACCACTTCTTGCTGAAACTCTTCCTTTGTCATTCCTTACCTCCCTTCGAGGTAGATACGGTTCTCTCAATTTACACATTTTCTGTTTTCATTATAGATTTGTTCTTCTCCTCACACCATAAATATGGCATTAGTTTCTCACTCTACACAGTCTGAATGAACTCATTCATAGCCTGTGTTCAACTCCATTATATTCTGATGACTCCCAAATACATAGTATCAACCCAGACCATCTACTGAACTTATTGGACCATGTATTTCAACTGCTTATTGTACATTCCCACCTGGATGAACTTCCAACTCAGCGTAAACCTATTCCATAAACCTAAAACCATCTTCTGTATCTTGAAATGGCACCTGATATAGACTCTTGGGTATGTATAACCCTTAGCTCACTTTTCTCCATCACCTCCTGTCCAATGAGTGATCAAATTCTGTCATCTCTGCTTATTAAATATATGATTCATTTTACATGCTTCCACTGCTACTGCCCTGACTTAGTTTAGGTCCTCACAATTCTTTCCTAGATTTCTGCTGTACCCCCCACCCCGACACACACACACACACACACACACACAGAGCTTATTTCAATAGTTTCACACTGTCTCCAAACAATCCTCTATTCTGCCTCCAAAATCATCTTTGTAAAAGAATTATAGTAATTATATTATTCCCTTTCTTTTTCAGAACAAAGTCCAAAATTCTTAGCCTTATCATCCAAGGCCCTTCCGCGATCTGGCTCCTGACTTTGCAACGTTACCTCTCACTCTTCCTCATCAAACGACTCTAAGATTCAGTTCCCACACTGCTCTTTGCTCAGCTTCCTGCTTTCTGTTGTGCATGCTGCTCTCCCTGCCCAGGGGCCCTTCTCCTCTCCTGGCATCGTCCACTGGCTGGTCCCTAATCTGCCTTGCGGATTCTGATCGCCTGTTATTTCCCCTCGGGATTTCCCCGAGTCTTCCCAGGCTGAGTCAAAGGCCCCCTTGCTCTCCCACATCACCCTTGCTTTTGTCAACCACACCACTATTACTCTGAGTTATAATAATGTTCTACTTTTTGGTCTGTCTCACCAGTGTTAAAGACAGAGACACCATCTTTCCAATCTTTATGCCTGGTTTCAAGCATAATGCTTCATTTCAAATAGGTTATTTATAGAAAATTAAATTATGACTTTGATATGAAAAGAACTATGCTGCCTTAGACCATTAAACTTCGAGTCTTTGTTCTTAAGTCATCAAATATAAGCTAGTGATTGTACTTACTGTGCTGAAGCTTTATGGTGCTCCTCAAAGTTCATACTTTGTGTCAGAAGCTGCTGAGGTATCTAATGCTCTGCCTTTGTTGTAGATTTACTGTTTCAATACATGACAGTCTCTACAGAAGCAAAAACTATTTTATGAGAACTCTGGACGATAGGAGAACCTAGAAGGTCGTACAGGCCATGTCCTTACTCTTTTAAATATTTTTTTAAGCATTAAGGATTGGACAGATTGTAGCAGGGCTTTTGTCAAAAATTATCAGGTCAAGTCACATAAAAGCAGAGAGTATTTTTCTTTACAACTTGTTAAACACAATTTGGGACCATCCATCACTTCTCTTATGTCAAGGTTTTCATTTTGATCATCATGTCAAATGTGCTGAGTTTCCCCGATCATTATCATCAATGGGAATTTGATCTCAGTGTTCCTGTCTTTGTTTCAGTATAAAGTAATGAATAATGTTACAGTTAATTGGGGAAAAATTGCACTGCTGGACCAGGCATTGACTTCTCTTCAAGTCAATTTAACATTGTACGTTTATCACAGATAAGCTTCGTAAAAGACAGAGTAAATAAAGCTATGTTTTGCTTTGCATTACATCCTGTTAAATGGAAAGAGTACACTTTCTCCTGTAAACATTGGTAATTTCATAAGCTTTAAGTTATTTCAGCAAGACTTGCCTTTTATTTTATAATATAATAAAAGTGTTTCATAATTTCTAGTCCTTAATAATTCCAGAATGCTAAACAAAACAATCACCAAAGGGTAAAATAAATGCAAATATGTAAATATAAGCCAAATCTGTGTTTTTTTTTAAAAAAGAACAGATGAGTGAACTGTTTTCTAATTTTGTCAGGTTTTAAAAACTACTCAGAGATTAACATATAACAGAGCTCTAGAATATAAAATATGTAGCGTAGTAGGTCAAATATTTAATTTTATATAATGCTTTCTATAGAAAGCTGTAACATTGACTAAGAAAGGTACAGAGAATAAAAATATATCAGGGATGATAGTGAAAAATATGTTAATGTTTTAATACATCTGATTAATTGAACCTCACTTGCTATGAGTCTGCCATTTTTCATATATATATGTATATATATTTATATGAAATGATAATCTGTTATGTATCTCTAATGACATGAATGAAATATATTCTGGACACATATATTTGACAAATATATATTTGTTGGTGTGTAATATAAGTATGAAATGCATACATACCTACTATTCACATCAAGATGGGACTATCTGGAGTGTATGGGAAGAAGATAACTTTTTCTGCCACCAACCTTGAGATGATGAAGAAAATCAGGAAATGTCTTTTGCCCTTGAGATCTAAGAAATTAAGTTTGCTTTGGTTTTACTTTTAAAACTGGTCACTTGTAGGTAGACTTCAGTGGATTTTTAGGGGGAATAGATGTTTAAATAGCTTTGTGGAAAGCTGCTGATGTTCCAAAACATCTGTTTTTCTCTATAACTTTAATAAAAGATTTCATCCACTCATTGTTTCAGCTACACTCAAATACAAATAACTTTAAAATTTATATTTCTAGCTCACATAGTTCTCCATTATTTTAATTTGTATGTCCAACTACTATCTGGATATCCCAGAGGTCTCGCAAACATATCCAGAACTTACTATTTTTTCCCTAACCTGTTTCCCCTTCTTTATTTTATCACATTAATGTCATTACCGTCGTCCATCATTCAAGTAAAATACTGAAAAATACATTTGCAACTTCCTCCTCTTACTTATATACAATCACTTGCCAAATTTCTTTGGTTTTACTCTTTAAATGTTTCTTTGATGCACTCTGTCCTCTCTACTCCTACCTGTTGACATTTATCAGGCTTTTATCTCACCTGGCATTTGCCAAGAGCTCCCAAATTCTCTCCCTAACCCCAGACTTATTCCCTGGAAATCATCGTCCACGTAGCTACCAAGGATCATCCATAATATAAATAAGGCTGTGTCCCTCTCATTGCTCCTTATAGACATAAAGGCTACCCACAATGTGACCCCAGTCTGCATCTCCAAACTTACCTGTTTCTCCCTCCTGTCAGGGCATCAGTGCTGAGCTGGTGATCTTCCCCCCAGGAGGAAAAAGAAAGTTGCAATGAGATGGAGAGAAGACTTTGACCATTTATGTCACAATGCATTTGTCCTTTCCCTGTTATCCTCCCTGTGCCACCAGTACCAGAGAAAGGCCTACAAGAGGGAGGTGGTGAAGGTGTGAAACACCAGAGTGTCCATATACACACAGACTCTCTAAACATCTTAAGCCACCTAGGAGTTTAAAATGAAACTGGATGGTTTCAAAAACACAGAGTGACTAGAAAACTATGGGATCTACCCAACACATAATTAAGGGATGTTGAAGAAAAGTTAGATACAGCACAATTGTAAGTGGCGGTTTTATAAAACAAACAAAAACCATAATACTTTATTTTTAAGTTTTAAAGAATTGAGCTTCCCCCGCAAACATTATATTCTGCCTGGACATTGTCTCTTTCTCTTTTAGTGTGTTTTTCCTGATATTCCTATTGTGAGGTGTGCTCCCTCTAACCGTCTCTATCACTGCACTTATGAGCTTGTTTCTCCTATTGATTTGTGAGATTCTTTTAAGGGCCAGGGTTGTGTCTTATCCATCTTTGTAACCCTGGCATTTTAACATAATGCCCAATATACAAATGGTTTTCAATAAATGAGTGTTACATGAGTGAGTGATGGACAATTGAGTCAATTAGTGGATTCCCAAAAATGCTAAATCACAGTGACTAATTTTAATGGTTTCCAAAACTGCTGCTCTTTTTCAATTTTTCAAAATCTATTATTTATTAATAATTCCTTATTTTTAATATAAAATGTATTGAAATTGAAACTATAATATTACTAAAATTGCATTTATTTTCAAATTTCTATGCATTTTTAACATTTTGGACACACATTTTCATGATCATTTTATTTTTTAATGTGTTTTGTAGGTTTTAGAAACTTACACATTGATGACCAGATAACTCTCATCCAGTATTCTTGGATGAGCTTAATGGTGTTTGGACTAGGGTGGAGATCCTATAAACATGTCAGTGGGAAGATGCTGTATTTTGCACCTGATCTAATACTAAATGAGTAAGTAGTAACTTGACTTTTGTTGTCCTTATTATTCTAAGTGTATATGTAGGATGATCTTGAAAATTACATTTCAATAGATAGTCATACATTTAGTATACAAAGTGGAGGTTTTCCTGAAAGGTTTCTCATAATTACCTCATAACAATTGGTATTACAGCTTGACAATATTAATAAAATTATATTATCAATTTAATGTTTGGAGAGTTTCCCTTTTGCTTCAATGTATAGTAGTTATTTGAAATCCAATTTTTTAAACATCAAGAATGTATCAAGAACTATACTTAAAGACAGAATAAAATGTTAAAATTTCATACCTTGGTACCAATGAAGATAATGAAGTAAATTAGAAATAACTTGCTTGAAAGTATTGACTTACCATCAGAAGGCAAAGACATCTCTCTTTAGAGTAAAAACAATCCTGGGAATTTATTTTAAACATTGAAAAATAGCCCTGGTTGGTGTGGCTCAGTTGGTTGGAGCGCAGTCCTGTATACCCAAAGGTTGCATGTTTGATTCCCAGACAGGGCACATACCTAGGTTGCATGTTGGAACCCCAGTCGGGCACATACATAAGGCAACCAGTGTTTCTCTCTCACATTGATGCACATATCCTTGGGAGAGGATTAAAATAAGTAAATATAAATAAGAAAAAAGTTGAAAGATAAATATTCCAATTTGCTTGATTATATTTAAATTACTGTAATTTTCCCATATAACCTTTAAATAAGAATCTTTTTAAAATTTTATTGTTGAGAGTATTACAGATGACCCCTATTTTCCCCCTTTTCCCCCCCTATACCCATCTTCCACCCCAACTCCCCAGGCCTTCACCTTTCTATTGTCTGTGTCCATGGGCTATTCATATATGCTTATAAATTCTTTGGTTAATCTCTTCCTGCCCTCCTTCCCGTCTTCCCTCTGAGATTTGTCAGTCTGTTTCATGCTTCCATGTTTGTGGTCCTATCTTGTCCGACAATTTATTTTGTTCCTTAGATTCCACATAAAGTGAGATCATGTGATATTTGCCTTTCTCTGACTGGCTAATGTCACTTAGCATAATACTCTCCAGGTCCATCTAAGCTGACTCAAAGGATAAGAGATCTTTCTTTTTACAGCTGCATAGTGCTCCATTATATAAATGTCCCAGAGCTTTTTTATCTACTCATATATTGATGGGCACTTGGGCTGTTTCCAGATCTTAGCTATTTTAAATAATGCTGCTATGAACATAGGGCTGCATGTATTTTTTCTGATTGGTGTTTTGGGATTCTTAGGATACATTCCTAGAAGTGGGATCACAGGGTCAAAAGGCAGTTCCATACTTAATTTTTTGAGGAACCTCCATACTGTTTTCCATAGTGGCTGCACCAGTCTGCATTCCCACCAGCAGTGTTCTAGGGTTCCCTTTTCTCCACATCCTTGTCAACACTTGTCACTTGTTGATTTGTTGATGGTGCCATTCTGACAGATATGAAATGATACCTCATTGTGGTTTTAATTTGCATTTCTCTAATGATTAGCAACGTTGAGCAATTTTTCATATGTCTGTTGGCCAGACATATGTCCTCTGCCCATTTTTTAATTGGATTGTTTGTCTTCCTCTTGTTGAGTTGAGTTGTTTGTATATTTTGGAAATTACCCCCTTATCAGATGCATCCTTGGCAAACAAGTTCCCTTTTCATTTTGAGGATAGTTTCTTTTGCTGTTCCACAGCTTTATAATTTGATGTAGTCCCATTTGTTTCTTTTTTCCTTTGTTTCTCTTGACCTAGGAGATGTATCAACAAAAATTTTGCTACATGAGATGTCTGTGATTTTACTGCTTATGTTTTCTTCTAGGATTTTTATGGTTTCCAGACTTACATTTAAGTCTTTTTTCCATTTTGAGTTTATTCTTGTGTATGGTGTAAGTCGGTGGTCTAGCTTTATGTTTTTTGCATGTGCCTGTCCAATTTTCCCAACACCACTTATTGAAGAGACTGTATTTACTGCATTGTATACTCTTGCCTCCTTTGTCAAATATTAATTCACCATAATGCCTTGGGTCAATTTCTGGGTTCTCTGTTTTGTTCCATTGATCTATAGGACTGTGCTTGCGCCATAACAAGACTGTTCTGATTACAGTGGCATTGTAGTATAGTACAGTTTGATTTCTGGTATAGTGATCCCTCCAACTTTGTTCCTCTTTCTCAAGATTGCTGTGGTTATTTGGGGTCTTTTTTGGTTCTATACAAATTTTAGGAATATTTATTCTAGTTCTGTGAAATATACTATTGGTATTTTAATAAGAATGGCATTGAGTCTATAGATTTCTTTGGGTAGTATGGAGATTTTAATGATGTTAATTCTTCCAGTCCATGAACATGGTATATTCTTCCATTTGTTTGTATCTTCTATTTCTTTTTTCAGTGTCCTGTAGTTTTTTTAGTACAGGTCTTTTACCTCCTTGGTTAAGTTTATTCCTTCATATCTTATTTGTTGTTGCAGTGGTAAATCATATTGTTTTTTCAGTTTCTCTTTCTGGGTGTTCATTATTTCTCTTTCTGGGTTTATAAAAATGCCATCAATTTCAGGGTGTTAATTTTGTAGCCTGCCACATTTCCGAATTCATTTATTAGATCTAGTAGTATTTTGGTGGGATCTTTAGTGTTTTCTATGTACAATATCATGTCATCTGCAAAAAATGACAGTTTTACTTCCTCCTTTCCAATTTAAATGCCTTTTATTTTTCTTCTTGTCTGATCCCTGTGCCAAGGACTTCCACTACTATGTTGAATAAGAGTGGTGAAAGTGGACAACCTGTCTTGTACCTGTTCTTAAGGGAAATATTTTTAGTTTTTGCCCATTGAGTATGATGTCGGCTGTAGGTCATATATGGCCTTTATTATGTTGAGGTATGTTCCATCTATTTCCACTTTGCTGAGAGTTTTTATCAAAAATAGGTACTAGATTTTGTGGAATGCTTTTTCTGCATCTATTGATATGATCATGTGATATTTCTTTCAATTTATGTGATATATGACATTTATATATTTGCAAATATTGTATCAGCCTTGCATCCCTGGAAATAATCCCATTTGGTCATGGTGTATGATCTTTGTAATGTATTGTTGGATCCAATTTGCTAATATTTTGTTGAGGATTTTTGCATCTATGTTCATCAGGGATCTTGTCCTGTAACTTTCTTTCTTTTTAGTATCTTTATCTGGTTTTGGGATTAGGATAATGCTGGCCTCATAAAAATATCTTGGAAGTCTTCCCTCCTCATGAATTTTCTGGAATAGTTTGAGAATAGATGTTAATTCTTTTTTGAATGTTTGGTAAAACTCACCTGTAAATCCGCCTGGTCCTGGGCTTTTGTTCACTGGGAGTTTTTTGATTACTGCTTCAATTTCATTAGTTGTTATCTGTCTATTCATGTTTCTGATTCTTCCCGATTGAGTTTTGGAGGATTGTATGTTTCTAAAAATTTGTCCATTTCATCCAGGTTGTCCAGTTTGTTGGCATATAGTTGCTCATAGTATTTTCTTACAATCCTATATAACTTTGATGTCAGTTATTATATCACCTATTTCATTTCTGATTTTATTTAACTTGGGTCCTCTCTCTTTGTTTATTGGTGAGTGTGGGTAAAGGTTTATCAATGTTTTTTATCTTTTCAAAGAGCTAGCTCTTGATTTCATTGATCTTTTTTATTCTTTTGTTTTGTTTTTAGTCTCTATGCCATTTGTTTCTGTTCTGATCTTTATTATATCCTTCTTTCTACTTCCTCGGGGCTTTTCCTGCTGTTCTCTTTCTAATTCTTTTAGCTGTAGTGTTAGAAAGTTTATTAGAGCTTTTTCTTATTTCTTGAGGTATGCCTGTAATGCTATGTATGAATCTTCCACTCAGAACTGCTTTCGCTGTGTCCCATAAATTTTGGATTGTCGTGTGTTCACTTTCATTTGTTTCCAGGAAGTATTTTATTTCTTCATTGATCTCGTTGGTAACCAACTCATTGTTTAATAACATGGTATTTAGCCTCCATGTGTTTGAATATTTTTGACTTTTTATAGTAGTTGATTTCTGGTTTCATGCCATTGTGATCTTAGAAGATACTTGATATGATTGCAATATTCTTGAACTTGTAGAGACTTGTTTTGTGTCCTAACATGTGGTCTATCTCTGAGCATTACACATGTGCACTTGAAAAGAATGTATATTTTGCCATTTGGGGATGAAATGTTCTATAAGTGTCAATTAAATCCATTATATCTAGTGTGTCATTTAAGGTCTGTTTCCTTGTTGATTTTTTGTTTGGATGAACTATCCAATGATGACAGTGGTGTGTTAAAGTTCCCTACTATGACTGTATTACTGTTGATCTCACCATTAAAAATCCACCAAGAATTATTTTACATATTTAGGTGCTCCTATATTGGGTGCATATATGTTTATAAGGGTTATATCACCCTGTTGGACTAATCCCTTTAGTATTATATAGTGATCTTCTTTGTCCCTTGTTATGGTCTTTGTTCTGAAGTTTTTCAGAAATAAGTATTGCTATCCCAGCTGTTTTCATTTCCATTTGCATGGGAGGTTTTTTTCCATCCCTTCACTTTCAACCTGTGTGAATCTTTTGTTCTGAGGTGGGTCTCTTGTAGACAGCATCTATATGGGTCATGTTTTCTTATCCATTCAGCCACCCTAGGTCTTTTGATTGGAGCATTTAATCCATTTACATTTAAGGTTATAATTGATATGTACTTATTTAATGCCATTTTTTCCTTTATGCCTATGTACTTTTCTCCCTATATTTCTTCTTCTTCTTAAAGCAGTCCTTTTAACATTTCTTGCAGTGCTCTTTTGATGGTACTTCACTCCTTTAGCCTTCTTTTGTCTGGGAAGCTCTTTATTTTGCCTTCAATTTTAAATGATAACCTTGCTGGATAGAGCAGTCTTGGTTGCAGGCTGTTGCTTTTCATTACTTTGAATGCTTCATGCCAGTCCCTTCTGGCCTGAAGCGTTTCTGTTGAGAAAACTGCTGACAGCCTTATGGGAGTTCCCTTGTAGGTAAATAACTGTCTCTCTTGCTGCCTTTAACATTCTCTCTTTGTCTTCAGCCTTGGCCATTTTAAGTATGATGTGTCTTGATGTGAGACTCTTGGGTTCATCTTGATTGGGACTCTCTGTGCTCCCTGGACTTGTATAGGTTTTTCTTTCACCAGGTTAGGGAAGTTTTCTGTGATTATTTCTTCATACAAGTTCTCTATCCCTTGCTTGCTATCTTCTTCTTCTGGTATCCCTGTGATGCAGATGTTGTTAGGTTTCATGTTGTCCCAGAGTTCCCTTAAATTATCCTTGTTCTTTTCAGTTCTTTTTTTCATTTTGTTGCTCTGTTTGAGCTTTTTCCCTACCTTGTCTTCCAAATCACTGATTCTATCTTCCGCTTCCTCCAGCCTACTTTTAATTCCTTCCTTTAAATAAGAATCTTTTCATGGGAATAATTTATACTGTTTTAATGGTGAATGCTGACTCAGATTTATATAACGTTAACTTATACTTGTAGGTAACTTTTGTATACTTTAATCCATTTTATCCTACAATCCCTTGAAATTGATAAGGAGTCCATATCCTTCATTTTACAGCTCAGGAAACTGAGGCTCAGAACCATGGCATAACATGCCAAAGAATCCGAATGGCAGTTGGGATTAATCTTTCACTCTTCTGAGTCAGATTCTGCTTTTCTTTTTATCATTCCTGTTAGCTTCATTTGACTAATGTCAATATTGTAAAACAGTACACGTTGAGAAAATAATTTTTTTAAATGTCCTTAACCTTCAGAATTAGTGTTTGACTTTGTCAATTATTTAATTATTCCTAATGTTCTTTTCCTGTATTGCCATACATTTCCCCTAGAATAGTTCACAGTGTAACTGTACACTGAATACTCTGAACTGAACACACTGAACTATTCTATATTCTAGTTTCTGTGAAGTAAATCCATTCTCCTATTGTTGCACACAAAATTTCATATATTTTTTTCACAGAAAAAAATTATCAGTAAATAAATTATTTCCTGAGCATTCCTTAGATCCACCATTTCAACTCCTACAACTTCTTGGTTTAGGTTTCTAAACTGTGATGATAGAAAAGAGAAATATTAACCTTGGTCAATGTGTATTTAATATGATTTTCTAACTTTAAAATTTCTTAACCTCAAAAATTCCGCATTGTGAAAAAATTTAGATGTTCAAGATTCCAAATACTGAATTTCTTTATGAAAAGTAATTTTCAGTAATAAACAAGGTAATTACTGAAGCTTATATTCTATAATAAATTACATAAACTGGCTAACATAGTGTGTGTGGTTGTTTTTTTCCTTTTTCTTTTTCTTTTGGGTGTTGTGTGTGATGGAAGACAGCGGATGAAGGAATTATCATTCTATTCCTTATGCCTTACCATGTGGCAGATTCCACAGGAGTTTGTGAAGCTTCAAGTTAGCCACGAAGAGTTCCTCTGTATGAAAGTATTGCTACTTCTTAATACAAGTGAGTATAAGTAACTTAATATAAGATTCTTACTTTCTTTATTTTTAATTTATTAGGGAAGTCTAATCAACTATATGATCATATGATTACACATGAGGTATGAATCTTCTATTGTAACTGCAAAGGAGAAACACCCTATTTATTATCATAGACATTAATAAAATTTCTATTTCTCAGGTTTTGCCTGTCACATAGTACTAAAATAACCTATCAAATCAGCCAACTCTGTTATTTGGATAAAACATTAAATGACTATTTTATATTCACACATTTAGGTTATTATAAACTAATTCATATTGCATAAACACTGTGCTTCTCTCCACCCCACCCCACCCCACAAAGGATTTACTGCATAAACTACACAGTTTTGTTTGGAAGTATTCTCTGTGGCAGGATTGGCTAACTGTTATGATAAATAACTACAAAGAAGACCAGCATAATACAATAGCTGTTTATCATGCACAGTCATAGTCCAGTGGGTTAACAAGAAAACCCATGCTCCTTTCATAAAGGGACTCCACCCTTTCCTAGCAGCTTGGAGCCTGCCACTGTATATGACTAGAAGATGAACAATGAGTGAGAGAAGGCTTGGAGGGGAAACCTGGAAGTATCATGTGTTACTGGTCATTTCCACCTGCTTTCCATGGCCCACCTTAACTGCAAGAGAGGCTAGGAAATGCACCTGAGCTGTATATTCAGAAGAAAAAAGAAAATAGTATATTAGGAAACAGCTTTGGTCACCAGAATGTAGGGGCATTTAATTTCATCCTATTTTTTGCACAAAGAACACATGCACCTCTGCCTCAGTGGATCCCCAAGGGTCTGGGTGGGCAAATTTTTTAAACTGCATTTACCTTTTACCCTATTTTTACCCTTTCCATGCACAGGTAAGTTCAGCCCTTAAATGTCTGAATCGATCCTTCCTTCATTCATAGTGACCTGAAAGGGAACAGAAGAGAGCTATGATCTTAGATAGAAGGCGAGTCAAGGGTCTTTATCAGTAGTACCTTTGCAGGAACTTCTTTCTAGTGGCACAAATCTCAAATGGTGGGGGTAAGGGAGTAACACATCAGGAGGAAAGGCAGAAGAGCTCAACCCTTAAAAAATAAGTTTTCCTTATGAAATCGTTGTAAAGACAGGGACCTGTCTTTACAAATTCAGGATCTAAGGATTTATAGCCTTATTTCTCCCTTGAAAACTCATTTGGAGCAAATATTTTCAAGCCTAATTTGATCAAGTGCACAAAGTGGACTAAGAGCATTGATGTGGGACCGGTCAAGAGCGTCAAATGGCATAAACAAAATTATAGCAATAACTTCTGCCCTTCTCTCTTGACGGTGATGAATCCAATAACAGTTATGTCATAGATGGTCTTATTTTATTTCCCATATAAGTTATCATTAACATAATTCTGATTTATAGGCTACATTATGTTGTGGACCAAACAATCCCGAAATCTCAGTAGCTTAACAACAACAAAATTCCAAATATTTATTCTCCCCACTAGATGGCTAATGCAAATCAACAGGTGGGCTCCCCTCATTGTCCTCACTTGGGTGCCCAGGCAAATGGAGGCTGTATCTTGACATTTGTTTCCACAGTCACTAGAGCAGTGGAAAGGAAGGGAATAAATAGATATGCATTACAAAAATTGGGGGACAGGGGAGGGAATTAGAAAACTACCATAATTAATACAGTGTGAGAAAAGAATAGATACATTGAACTGTTAGTCCAAGTCTGACTAGTATATATTAGAACTTCATATACTGTAATATAAACATCACAAACCAATGAGTATGGAATAAACATTTTTGGAAAAAAATAACAGTATATTTTGGAAAAATTTCATTTGGATATTTAGCTGAAATTATATTTTAAAATAAATACCAAATAATTAAGTTAAATGTGAAAAAAAGTTAAATTTGAACACTCATAATTTTAAAAACAAACTAATATAAATATATTAAAGTAATATAAATATTTTTGAAATCTTAAAGAAAGAGTATCTTTTTAAAAACAAATGCAATGAGTAAGTTGGCAAAGGAAAAGTTTGATGATTGGATGCATAAAAATTTAAGCCTCCCATTTGCCATTAAAAACTAAAATACAGATCTCCAGAAAAAATGTGGCAGGTTGAACACATACATTTTTCCATTGATCCCTCTAAAACTACACTAAGATATTAGTAATGGAATCCTTAAAAATAAAAATGAGGTGCAAACCCAATGCCACATTTTTATAATTGTTATTAACTTTATTTTACAAAAAGAAAAAATGAAGAGAGAAGGAAAGAGGAATCAATAGCAATAAAATTTTGTATGCCAGCAAGAACCACAAATTTAGCATACCTAAAAAGGTTGAGTTCTAAGCCACAAGTAAGAAAATCTAAGTACCTTTATTTGCATCACTGAGCCTCTGGCACGTTTTTCCGTGATTTTTTGAAAAGACAGGGAAGGCAGAGTTAAAAGCAGGAAGTTCTGTTGAAAGTCTGTTTCCAAATATCACCCAACCATGCCAACTGATTCTCTCCAGCTCAGACAGAGAGTGTAAATTTATTTCCTGAAGAAGATGTAACGGAGGAAAGCTGTGTTGGTGAACCACAGTACAGTTGAGGGTGAGGCTTTCTGTATTGAAAACAGACTCAGATTATATACCAAATACTGAGACAGCATACTTCTCCCGCCTGCCTCCCAGAACACTGCCTTCCAAACTTATATGCTGCAGAGAGGGGAATGGAAGGTTCTTCTCTGCGGAAGCTGTTTAGCCAGAAAGAAAAATAACTAAGTAATAGCATTAATTTCTCTTTGAAATAGCTCCGCCAGATTGCCTGGCACGAAAGTTCAGGGTCACTAAGCACTACCCATTCAGACATAACTATCAATCAGCTTTTTAGCTTTTCACTCTTGAATACAAATAAACAACCAAGTCATCTGAGGGATACTTTTGACATCAGACACAAAGATAAAACAGAAAAAAAAGAACTTGGAGGAAACAGAAATCATGGAGACAAAAACTTCAGAAAAATTCAAAAGTTAACCCTCCTTCGAAAGATAAGAGAACATATTGTACCCCATGAAATTAAGAACTAGATACTATGAAAAGGGAATAGCACGCAGAAAGAAAAGAGCCCTTGGAAACTAAAATTATATGTATGCAGGGTGTCCCCAAAAAATGTACACACACTTTAACAGCAGATAACTCAATTTTGAAAATGTATTTTAACAAACACTGACTTTATAATTATTCAAAGTGGGTGTATACAGTTTGGGGGACTCTCTATATATAGATATAGGTATAGATATAAATATATAGATATAAACATATGTTTATATCTATATATTTATATATGCAGAATTTAAAAGTCAATAGAGGCATTGGAAGACAAAGTTTAAAAATGTCTTAAAAGTAGAACAAAACCAAAAAATGTGGAAAATCAGAATCAAGGAGGTCTGACACCCAAACTGTTGGTGATCTAGAAAGAACAGTAAAAAACATAAAAGAAGAAATCACCAAAGAAATCAAGCAGGACATCTCAGACGAGTAGCAAAAGGACCTAATAGACTTAAGAATAAAGATGTAGGTAAACTGACAATGTAGTGGAAACAAGAGACCTAGCCATAAGAACAGGAAGTTGTGCCTAGGATCTAGATAGATGAATTCAAGATTTCAGAGATAAGTATCTAAATTATCAGGTAACATCATATAATAAGAGCCATTCCTAAAATCAGCAACAAAATAGGGGCATTTGTCATCACTAATATGTTTAATATTGTTCTGGAAGTTCTGAACAATGTACTGAATCATGAAGCAGAAATAAGAGTTACAACTACAGTCCTGCACTACTTAAAAGGACACTGGGCGATTTCATCATGTGTGAACATTGAAGAGTGCACTTGCACAGACCTGGATGACATAGCCTCCTACACACCTGGGCTATATGGGAGATAGCCTATGAAAGGGTAACGGTCAGAGGTGCGCAGGCAGGCTAAATAGCCATCCCAGATGGGTGAATAAAGGAAAATTAAATGTATTAAAAGGGGGTGGGGATATTTCAAAGGACTACACAGCACTGAGCCAAAGGGTAATTGGGTCCATAATGGCAGCAAAAATATACTTGGGACAGTGAAACAAGGAAGAGCATAGAAGCTCTTTGTGTAATGCGTTGCACCACAGCATCACTAGGTGATAGGAATTTCTCAGCTGCATTATAACCTTATGGGACCACCATTGTATATGCCCGTTGTTGTTGATGGAAACATCATTACATGGTACACAACTGTTTTGGAAAGAGGAAAATAAAGATATTATTTGTATATAGTATTGTTGTATACCATGAAAACAAAGTATAATCAACAAAAGCTTAGAATAACAATATAAATAAAAAATAAAATAAAAATAGAGTAGAACCAAGTGGCAGGATATAAGGGAAATATTCAAATAGCAATAGTTTTCTCCCATATCAGGAAGGGGTTAGAAAATTTAATGAAGCAATGTTAAAATAACAACAACAAAAATAAGTTATCCAGGAATAATCTTAATTAATGAGAAATACTTGAGATTTATATGAAATCGAAATAAGAAACATCCAAATCTATAGACAATTGTATAAGAGTCTATTTGAGCCAAACTAATGACAGTTGCCAGGAAGCAAATCTCAAATGCTCCAGAGGATAACAGTTTGCAGTTTCTTTTATACATTTTGAAGTAAGGGAAGGGAAGGGAAGATTACATGAAGGTGTGAGAAAGCAAGGCAGCGATTGGATTATGGGACAGTTAAGATAGAGTGCTCTCTTGAGGGTGGTTACAACTTCTAGGTGTTTGGAAAAAAGGATTCGTTCTGGCATTTCAAAGGTGGTGTTAACCCAGCTGCACAAGAACAATGGACAGGGCTGGCTTAAAAACCTTTCAGTAAGGAAGTTGCAGACCTGGTCAGGACTACTCACTATGACCTGCCCAGTTAGGAATTTATGATCAGATCACCCTGTAAGGTTACTTTCTGTTAGATTTATTACAACACCCCTTTTTCATCCATAGAAGACAAGAGTTTACAGAGAGTATTTGTTAAAAGTAAAGAAAGATAAAAGACTACATGTTGTTGTAAACTAAGTCAAACCAAGTATTTGAGACAAAATTGTAGAATACTGTCAGGGGCTCTTTTAAGCAAATTCTAATTCACTTAAAATGCATAATACATTGACACAACTCTAAAATAGGTAAGCTGAAATGTTTATCTTCCATACTTGCTCTTATATTCTTCCAGAGAACTAGAAATTTATATGTCCTAAAGCTCAGTAACACTATTTCCTATTTAAGATGTTTGTATATAATTACATATTTTTAAAAAAGCATCCTACAGCACAGCTGGTGTTGCTCAGTGGTTGAGCGTCGACCCAGGAACCAAGTGGTCGCCAGTTTGATTCCTCGCCAGGGCACATGCCCAGGTTGAGGGTCTGTCCCCAGTAGGGGGTGTGCAGGAGGCAGCTGACAGATGACGTATCTCTCATTGATGTTTCTATTTCTCTATCCCTCTCCCTTCCTCTCTCTCTAAAAATCAATAAAAACATATTTTTTAAAAAATCATCATACGGCCCAAAAATTGGTATTATAATCTGCTTGTGTCATCATTTTAAACATAACTGACACTTGTCATTGTCTTTCTGCAGTTCCTTTGGAAGGACTAAGAAGTCAAAACCAGTTTGAAGAAATGCGAGCAAGCTACATTAGAGAGCTCATCAAAGCAATTGGTTTGAGGCAAAAAGGAGTTGTCTCTAGTTCACAGCGTTTCTACCAACTTACAAAGTTTCTTGATAACTTGCATGATGTAAGTATTTTGTTTTCTAGAATATCAACAATTATTTTCTGAATTTCTGTAACTTTTTAGATATTAAATCTAAATTTTACTTCATGTTTTCCTTCAATTCATATTTGTCCTTATATTTTAAAACAGTATTTGCATCATATTGCTCTGAATTTATATTTTGCCTTTTTTTTAGATCACCCTAATATCCTTTTATTAGTATTTGTGTAGTTTGAGGGTCATCTAAGAGTTGATAGGAATTGTGATACATTTTCCTGAATATGTTCTAAAATATTTTTTGCCTTCAGTTAGGCAAAATTTACATATATGTACATATATAAAGAAAAAGAAAAGGTATGGATGTAGAAAATAACACTCTCATAGCATTTTTGATGAAATTATAAGTTAATAAAAATTGAGGAGGAAAAAATGTTCCTCTACCCTTCAGGATTCTTTCAGCTGGTCTAATAATGAAGTATACAGGAGATAGATTAACAAGAGACAATAACCAAATTTAATTACATATATACATATGAGAATCCCATGAAAGAGTCAGAGACACCACATGCATGAGAAGTTCAGGGACAGAAAGGTAAAATGAGGTTTATATGGCATTCTGAGCCAAGGATGAGGTAAGAGGCCTTGGGGCATTAGAGGAGAGGAAAGTAATTGAGGAACAATAAGAAGGGCAGTGGTTCAGTAATTAGTAGTTTGCCTTGCCATAAAGATAGGTCAAAAAGGTTATATCTATAATTTCTTATTATGGGCAAGGCCACTAATTTAAACTTTTTTAGGTAGTTGAGGGTGGGAGATACAGAAATTTCTCCTGAGTCTGCAAGGTCTCGGTTGCTTATAGCTCAAAATAATCCATATGCTGTAGAGGCACATTTTGGGTGACTCAGTCTGAACTCCCACACAATACTGATGAACAATCTGGCATAATATAGCAAAATTTGAAATTGGCATGCTTGTCAAATTTCCACTTTTTAGGATTTATCTTAAATAAGTTATTATGCAAATATTTAAGATACATATGCAAGGAAGTTCACTGTAGCATTGGTTATACAAGAGAAAAAACCCAAGAAATTTCCAACACTAGAACTGGATTACTGAAACAAGATTTTTGTGGCTAGTCAAGACATATTAAATACAAGCTTTTCTTGCTGCTATGTTCAGAAACCACACTGAATGACAGTCAAGGCACAAAACAAGCTGTCCATTCACCAGGTCATATTTGAGAACTTACTCTTGAATGTAATCAGACCGCCAAGGATATTAGCCATTTAGGGGAAGCTTCTAAAATAAAAGGCATAAAGCAGAATAAACAACAACAACAAAGTAACTTAAAGGGAAAAAGCATGCGTACAGAGAACGGAAGAAAGCTTTAAAAAAATTAGGATATTCAGAGAAATAAGAATGATATGGTGTCTATGAAATGAGAATAGAAAACATTTTAAAGGAACACTGAGCAAGAGAATACTTTTGGATAATTAAATATAGAAGATCAGAAATTAAAAATTCAATAGAAAGGCTGAAATAGAAATCTCAGGCAACTCCCAGAAAAAAATAACAAAAAATAAAAATATGAAAAATTATAGAGGTGAGAGAGAAAATTTAGGGGATTAGTCCAAGGGGTTCCATTCTCCAATTAATAGAAAGTTCCAGAAGAAAAAATAAAGAAAATCAAGAGGAAATTATGTTAAAAATACTAGAGGAAAAGTCACTGAAACGGAAGGATACTAGTTATCTGAATGTAGGGGTCCAGTATACAGGCACAGCACAGTTGAAGCAAGGCATGTTATTCTATAATTTCAGCCTACCAGGAATAAAGACAATATCCTAAAATATACCAATGAGAAAAGAAACAAGTCACACATAAATTTTCAGGATTTAGAAAGATGCTGGACTTCTCAACAGCAATACTGGAATCCAGAAAACTGACCCAAAGCCTTCAGAATTTTAAAGGGAAATCTTCAAAGATCCTTATACCCGGCCAAACTGTAAAACAAGTAGGCTAGCACCATCAAAGTATTTTCACATTTAGGGTCTCATAGTGCTTCCTCAAATACAGTTTTTCTCAAGGACGTCTGTAAGATGCCTTACAACAAAACACTGAGGGTAAGTCAGAGAATAAGACTCAATCCAGGAGAGATGCAGTGCACACCCCAGCTCATTAACTGTGCTAAGCAGTCATTAGTCTATATTGGAGAGTAATGCATCGGATTTCAGGATCTAGTCCCTGGAAAAAGAACTGAGAGATTACTAGTATGTATGAATATACTGACGTGAGTTTTACAATTCTGTCAGAGAATTTGACTGTGGCTTTGTGATAAATACAGAGAAAATGAAACAAGTGGAAATGCAAGGTGATTCGCTGTAGCAAAATAAAAATGTCATATAGGAGAGGAAATGTAATACAGAAGGCAACAATAAAAATCTTTATATTATACATATTGGATATTGATTTAGCCAAAAAGTGAGATATAGCTATAAAGAGAATAGAGAGTAAAGAAAGTAAAGGGGGGGGGGGGAGTATAAGAGAAATAAATCCTCATTTTTCATAGTGCAAATTCAATCAATGTCTAATGGGGGGGGGGGATTATTAGAAATACAGAGATACATTTAAAAGGCCTAGGCTAAAAAAGTTGAAGGTGGCTGCATCTAGGGAGCTGGAATATGGATCGGAAGAAGTACATCAGGAACTGCTGGGATTTGTTGTTGCTGCAGTTTTTTGGGGGGGGCGGGGGTTGCTTATTTGTTTTGTTTTTCTTTGTTTCGTTTTGTTTTCCAGTCTTAGTGAGAAATAATTGACATATATTATTATATAAGTTTAAAGTATACAGTATGGGTGGGGAACATGTGGCCTGTGGGCCCTATGCGGCCTGTGAAATCATTTGGTCTGGCCCTGCCAAGGCAACCACAGGCAGGATTCGAAATTCAATAAATCTAGGATCTTTTTTCATAGCTAATTTTTAAGTTGTTAATTTTGTATGGCTCGCAAATGATGTTGTAACTACCCAAATGGCCCTTGGCAAGTTAAAGGTGTCCTACCCCTGGTGTACAGCATTATGGTTCGATTTACTTATATTGTGAAATGATTACCAATATATACACACACACACATATATACATATACATATATAACGTGTGTGTGTGTGTGTGTGTGTGTGTGTGTATATATGCATATATATTATATACAAGGTACACACTTTGAATGATTATTAATTCCAGTGGGTTAANGTGTGTGTGTATATATGCATATATATTATATACAAGGTACACACTTTGAATGATTATTAATTCCAGTGGGTTAAATCTGAAAAGAAACATCCATTGAGCTATCAGCTATAAAGTGTGTATGTATTATTTTTGGACACCCTGTATATACAATAAATAGAAAAAACATTTCTCCTCATGATGAGAACTCTTAGGATCTACTGACTATCTCACCTTTCCTATATATCATGCAGCACTGTTAACTATAGTCATCATGTTGTACATAACATCCTTAGTGTTTATCTTGTAACTGAAAGTTTGCACCTTTTTTACCACCTTCCTCCTATTTCCACCCACCATTTTCACACTTGGGTAACCAGAAATCTGATCTTTTTTCCTGAGTTTGGTGGGTTCTTTTCTTTATTAAATTCTATACCTAAGTGAGTCATACAGTTTTTGTCTGACTTATTTCACTTAGTTTAATGCCTTTAAGGTCCATCTACGTTGTTGCAAATGGTAGGATTTCCTTGTTTTTTTATGGCCAAATAATATATATATATTATATATATGCCACATCTTCTTTATACATTTATCAATGATGGACACTTAGGTTGTTTCTGTGTCTTGGCTATTATAAGTAATGCCGCTATGAACATGGAGGTGCAGATATCTTTTTGAGTTAGAGATTTTGTTTCTTTTGGATATATTCCCAGAAGTGGAATTGCTGGATCATATGGCAGTTCCACTCCTAATTTTTTGAAGGATCTCCATACTGTTTTCGATAGAGGCTGTACCAATTTACCATCCATCCAACAATGCACAAAGGTTTGCATTTCTTTATATCCATGTCAGCATTTGTTATCTCTCGTCTTTTTACTCATGGCCATTCTAACAGGCATAGGCTGATATCTCATTGTGGTTTTTATTTGCATTTTTCTAATGACATCTTTTCATGTACCTGTTGGCCATTCATATATATCTTCTTTGTAAAAATGTTTATTCAGGTCTTTTGCCCATTTGTAAATTGGATAATTTATTTTTTGGTGGTTTTTTTTGTTGTTTTTTGGCTATTGTGTTATAGGAGTTCTTTATATATTTTGGGTAATAACCTCTTACCAGTTACATGGTTTGCAAATATTTTTCGCATTCCTTTGGTTGTGTTTTTACTTTGTTGATGGTTTCTTTTGCTGTGCAGAAGCATTTTAGTTTGATGTAGTCCTGCTTTTTTTTATTTTGTAGCTTGTGTTTTAGGTGTGATTTCCAAAGGATCATTACCAAGACTCATGTTAAGAAGCTTTTTTAACTATGTTTTCTAGTAGAAGTTTTATGCTTTCAGGTCCTACATTTAAGTCTTTAATTAATTTCAAGTTAATCCCTGTGAGTGGTATAAGTAAATATCAAGTTTCATTCTTTTACATGTGAATATCCAGTTTTCCCAGCACCATTTCTTGAATAGACTGTCTTTTCTCCATTGAGTATTCTTGGACCCCTTTTCAAATATTAGTTGAGCCCCAGCCAGGTCTCAGTTGGTTGGAGTGTAGTCCTGTACACCAAAAATGTTGTGGGTTTGATCCCTGGTTGGGCATGTACAGGAGGCAACCAGTCTGTTTCTCTCTCACATCGATGTTTTTGCTTTTCTCTCTCTCCCTCTCTCTTTTTCTAAAATCAATAAACATATCCTCAGGTGAGGATTTAAAAAAAAAAAAAAAATTGACTCTGGGTTTATTTCTGGGCTCTTGATTTTGTTCCACTGGTCTAATTTGTCTGCTTTTATGCCAGTACCACACTGTTTTAATTACTATAACTCTATTGTGTAGCTTGAAATCAAGAAGTGTAATGTCTCCTGCTTTGTTCTTCTTTCCTAGGGTTTCTCTGGCTATTCCAGGTCTTTGTGGTCTTTCCTCCTTTTCAGTTTTTGGCAAGTGTTTAAGAAGTATTGCTGTTAATCCTTCTTTAAATGTTTGGTAAATTTCACCAGGGAAGCCATCTCATTACTAGTAGTAATCAGATTTTCTATTTCTTTCTGATTCAGTCTTGATAGTTTGTAAGTTTCTAAGAATTTTTCCATGTCTAGGTTGTCTAGTTTCTTGGCGCATAGTTGGTTGCTGTTGTTTCTGTTGTTATAAGTCTTACAGTACTAGTTGACTTTTGAAATTATGTTCATGAATTACTTTGACAAAAATATTAGATTAAAATGAGTTATGTTGGGTTTTTTTATTGACAGAGTCAATATAATGTGACATGAACAAATAGACTTTATAAAATAATCACATTTTTGTATATATATATATGCATGTGTGCATATATATATGCATGTGTACCTGGATATGTCTATATACATGTATAAAAAGAAAAAAATTGAAAGAAATACACCGAAATGTTCAGATTGGTTATCTTGTGGGATTATGAATTACTTTCATTTTTAAAAATATTTTTGTACTATCATAATGTTTGATTGTATGTGATATTTTATATATTCTTGAGGGTGGAGGGAGTTATTTTCATTTTGGTAAGAAGAAAACATCTTGGCAAGTATATATATTGTTAGAAAACTAAGTTGCCATGTTTGAATGGTATGTGAATTTATTACTTTTCTTACATGTTTCTTACCCATTTATTAAACCAACAGCTTGTCAAACAACTTCATCTGTACTGCTTGAATACATTTATCCAGTCCCGGGCACTGAGTGTTGAATTTCCAGAAATGATGTCTGAAGTTATTGCTGCACAATTACCCAAAATCTTGGCAGGGATGGTGAAACATCTTCTCTTTCATAAAAAGTGAATGCCATTTTTACCTTAAAAAAATTAAATTTTGTGGTATGTCTGTTTTTGTTTGGGTTAGGATTATGAGGTCTCAAATTCTTTCAATGTTTCTTCTCAAAGCCTTACATTCATATCATACCATTCTGTATAAATGCCAGAGAAAATTGTGAGATTTTAATGGTTTTTCCTTTATACAGTGTCATTAGAATTTTTGAGTGTTTTTGTGTATCCATATTTTCTTTACGAGTTTACAAGATTGAAAAAGTACTAAAATTGATGGTTAAGGTAAACTTAATCTTATCCATATTATTTCACACCATTTAGGTGAAGATTTTGAACTTTTGCATCTAACAAATCTGCTTTAGAGAGAAAAAAAGTCTTACACGTAATACTAAAAAGCTATTATATATGTTCCTTCTAGGCAGCTCCCTTTGTCTCCTTGATTACTTTTACAAAAATGGACCTTTAAAATGGTATGCAAAATTTTGTCTACATGGGTGTATATACATTTTTGTTAGAAGGAAATTTATAACCTTTATCAGATTTTCAAGAGTTTTTAAATGCAAAAAAAAAAAAAAAATACATAGAGAAAAAGAGTTTAAAATTTTTGAAAGAGATCGATGTTCCTCAAACTAGGAAAAGTAGCACATATATAAAACTGTTTCCCAGACTGGAAACATAAATCTCTAAAGAAGTTATTAAGTAGAGCCATATCATTATGACATCAGTATTGTGGGTTTTGTAGTTTTTTACTAACTTTGGGGAGTTGTCCTCTAGTAAGATATTATGAATCGAAATAGGAAGTCAGAAGAGTTGGTGGCCTAATTCCATTCCTTATTTGGGAGCATGTGGATAGTCACTTTACTGTTCTCAATTTCCTCACCTTTAACACTGGTGTAATAATATCTTTACTGCAAAATGTTCCTTTTGATCAGAGCTTCTTATTAACATCTCAAATCAAAGAAGCCAAAAAAGGAAGAAAGGGAGGGAGAAAAAGAGGGGGGAGGGAGAGAGGGAGGGAAGGGAAAAAGAGAGAGAGGTACTATTCTCTTTCTCTACCCAGCAAAGCATAATAGTCTAATCACAGGTTGAAACTTTTTGAGTGCCTTTGATCTAATTCTAAGAGAGATACTTCAGGGAATACTAGATACTGTCTTAAAATAATGCAGCCAATTACAATAACTAGAAAATACAATTCACATTGTCCTATGAGCTGAAAATATTCTTTTAGAAGACAGACAAGAGTTCTTTCCTGAGATGAGTGACTGGAGATCTATTTTTTTAAAGATATATTTAAACAGGAAGAACCAAGTTCATAGCACTGGTAAAAGTCAATTGAAATCAGCCATTGTTTTCTTTTCTAGATAAAGTAATTTATACCAATATTAGGCATATCTATGTGCTCTATGTGCCTATTATAGATCATATATATGATACATATATAATTTTTAGCAGCTCAGAGAAACTAGTAGACCCAATTCTTCTTCTAAATTTCTTTAAAATTAGACGTTATCTGACAAATAAAAATACCACCTTATGTAAATTAGTAGTTCATGAGAAAAAGTAACTTCGAAAGCAAAATAGAAAACTTAATTTTGACTTCTTAATGCATTTTTAATTGCTCATTCCCTTCAACTGATAAATACTTGCAGTTTAACAAGGGACAGTAACAGAATAATTTTAATGAATACTAGTATGACCCCCCAAAACAAGATAAAGTGGTTTTATCTGATCAAAACATTAGCATAATAGTGTTACCATAATCTTTATCAATAATTTCTTCAGGTTACAAAAAAGAATTAGCTATGAGTATCTATAAATAGTGAATTCACATAAGGCATTTGAAATGGGTATTAAAACAAGCTCCAGCTAGGTAGGGCCTTTGACTTGGGTTCACCAGATCTGTGTGGCAAATATAATAGATAATATGCAAATCATATAACCCTTGGTTATAACGTTGAATAAGAGTTTAACTTAGGTATTCCAAATAGTTTCAACATTAGAGTAAAAATGGTCTCTTCTTTAGTATGTCTATCTACATGTCTTTTCTGTGAATGTATATGTATTACAATAGACTCCACCAGTATTCAGTTCTTCAGGGTCTTTATACCTCCCCACGCTCATTCTCTCTGCACTATCCAGGCCAAAGTTATCTTCCTAAAAAGGATCTAATTATGCCAGTTCCTCATTTAAAACATTCACTAACTTCCAGTCACTTATTAGAGCTGCACTTGAGAATGTCTAAATGAGCTTTTAAAAAACACCTTTAACTGGGCTCCTTCTTCAGAGATTATATTTTAATTGGTCCGCTTTTGTTAGGCAAGCACATAGGAGGACTCTGCAATGGTGTTCAAGCATCAGTTCTTATAACTTGCTTCCCTTTGTCCAACTCTGTCACATATTCATCTTATCTTATGTTCCAGTCATGTAAATCAATCTTCTGCCCAAATTTTCTCCCTTTGATACCAGTCCCATTTATATCTCAGCCTTCAGCACTCAGCCAAACATCATTTCTGTAATGTCTGCCCTGCATCTTCCAGACAGTTATTTGCTTCCTCCTAAGGTTCACCAGGCACGTTGTGCACATTGGAATTACAATAGTGTGTTATTCTACAGTTCAGACTCGCCTACAAGTTTGGGAGCCACTTGAGGTGGGTCAACAGCATTTCTTGACTGAGAGTTCAATAACATGTTCTCTCTATTTTTAGTATTACCTTGGATCTCTATCATTCTTTTGTTATATCAGTCCACATCTCTGCACACATGACTTTATCACCTTTTCTTTTAATGGTCCCTCCCTCTCTCTTTGTTTCTCTTCATCTTTTTGTTATTTTTCCACCTATTCTTCCTACTTTGTGAGATCTCTCCTTGTACTGATTATAACATAGAAGAATGTAAGTACATTTTATATTTATTAAGAAAAACACTTTATGCTCTTTATCCTAAATTTTAAAATTGAATTAATGGAATATTATTTCCCTCCCTAAGAAAAATTCCAGATTCAATTGTTTTTTATATTTAAGTAGCCCTTAATTATCTTGTATTATAAACCCCAATATACAAATTTTCCTCACTTTTTATTTCATTCAACAAATATTGAGTATCTGCTGTTATCACATGAAAATGTGTTAATAAGCATTATTATTCTATGCTATTGACCCTTGTAACTCAAGAAAGTTACATTTCAGTAACAGGTATAAGTTACAGTGCCTGGTAATAAATAGTAGGCATTCAAATATTTGTTGAGTGTACAAGTGTGGATTTGATGGTTCAGAGCATTGTTTATGTATAATTTGACTGAGGCAAATGCAGCACAAAATAAGATGCCAGCCTTAAATATCAAATGACGTCTTAGTCTAGTCATATCAAAATTTCATTTGCATTAAATCTGTGTGTATATTTTGTTGAGAAAAGCTTTCAATGTCTTTCCCCCAATAAATTTCATCCCAATAAATGCATTTTTAAATTTTTCCCATATGTAATAAAGGAAATCTACCAATGTGAACATGGTACCTCTAAGAATGGATTATGTGACATAAGTAAATGAATGTAGGTATGTCCAAAAAAAACAATGTCATTAGCCTTTCACACTCAAGTAATGGACCCAAGAGAACAGTTAATCATGTGATCATTTTGTTATCTGATCTTGTTAATTTGAATTAAAACAATATTTTGGTGACACAAATCTCTTGTCATCAGTACAGATTTAAATTCTAGCATGATTAAGAAAAATTTTTTACATAACTTTTAATTTCCTGATTTCACTCAACTATGGATGAACAGAATGTGGTGATCAGAGGGGTTGGGATTCCTGTTTTGGTTATTGTTTTGCAGTCTCATAAGGATGTTTCATATATTTTATCTTGATCTTAATTCATAATGTACATGTCTAAATACTAGGATTTAATATTTTGGGCTAATTTAAAAGAAACAACAACAACCTCTTGAAAAACAACATGACATCACCGAATGGAAGATATCTAGTCTCTAAATCTTTTGCTCTACAAATTCCTGACTACTAATGTCTCTAACTATTATGATGTCATTGTAAACTTTATTTTATAGGTGATGTTCTTTCTGGTAGCTCTAAAGTGAAATGAAATCATAAAAAGACAAGTTGTGTATCAGAAAACACCTGCAGGTTACTCAAATAGACTATTGAGTTAATGAAATATTTCCCTTAAAAAGGTTTGAGATGCCACTTGAGTCTGAAGCAATTGTACCTCTGTTATCAGTTGTTATATACAGATTTTTTGTGTGTTTTCATTTAAAATATGGCACTTTTAAATTGACCAATGCTATTATTTTTCATTTAACATTAAAATAATTTATTGCTACATAGATAGACAAATATGATAGGCAATATGTTTCAGCCAAAACAATGCCTTTCCTACAGTTCTGGCATGTCAACCTTTAGCTTGTAAATTACCCACAGCTGCAGTGATAGAATTATGATGGGTATTGTGGAAAGAGCAGACCTAGGCCTGTGCCCCACTTTTCTGGCATTAAGTATCCGGATGAGCTTGAGCAGGTCATTTCACCTCTCTGAATAAACCTGCCTTTGCAGAATTGTTTTGTGACAAATAGAAAACAAAAAAATATACAGGTGTTCAGAAATGGTAACTGCTGTTACGTTTTCATTAAGCCATAGTTCTAGATATAACTTTATGAGATTAATCTGGTACATTCTCTAGTGAAATCAAGGAATCTAGAAAATGCAGTTACTGTTCATTATCTCTCTGTACATATGAATATTGCTTATATTCACTAGAGTAAGTCATGCAATTATTTTAATGAAAATATTGCTCAGGGTCTGTGGTATAATGGTATTTTTCTTACTCAAGTTTTGGTGAAAAGGACAGTCTCAAACTCCACCTAGCATCTTCCATCTATTTAATGTACCATTAGGCCATACTCCCTGGTCCTTATCAAATCCAAAAATTGAACAAAAAGCAGTACAATAAGTGACTACTCACCCAATATTATGGAATCTGATTTAACCTGGGTTAGTCTACATCCATAATCTGAATCCAGGTGGAACTAGGACTAGATAATTGTATTCAGTCTGAATCACATCCATCCCTATTTAAACTCAGAAAAAAAGATCCTATACACCATAAGTTACATAGGACTAATAGAACTGAAATAATGTGACCACAGAAACATTGAAAGTAAGAATCCAAGAGTCTAATAATTTGTCTTCCCTGTCATTGCAGAGGATTTAAGAATTTTGAAGGTGTTGGTGATATGTTATAAAGCAACAGTTCATAGAGGTAGTGGCTTAATGCATACACTATCTGAATATCCTATAGTCAAAGCAAAGGAAAACGTGAAGGGATGGGTCTGTTCCTCTCCTTGGAGTTGACCACATTCCAAGGCAGTTCCGGGCACATGCCTGGAGGCTGCGCCCAGGCCTGTCCACAGCCTCGTGCAGCTGTGGAGTTTGGAAGGCTGTTGCTGGACTGCTGGATTAGCCCCAGAATGTCAACCTCATTTTCAATTTACTGACTTGTTGCTTTATGTCATGCTGACCTTACTGTTAAACACAAGTTTGTTTGCTTTCTTTCCACTCATGGAGAAATGAGGAAAGCATTACTTTTAAGCCAGTTGAAAGTTTTAACTGACAAAGCACTTCTATGGAAATGTGAATTAAGCAGCTAAGAAAGCATACCGTGTCCATTTCTTTAAAGAAAATGTATGGTATCATTAACTCTGCAGCGTGACATCAGCATCATGGTCAATATTTAGATAGATATGAGCAAAATATTTAAATGGTAATGTAAATAGTTGTCAAATCATACACTGCAGCTTATTTTTATAATCTTTTGAAATTGCTCTTAAAACATCAAATCCTGATATACCCAGTTTAGCAAACAAATTATTCTAAATGAAACCCACTTCAATATGTTTTCCTTTAGTCGATTATACATAAAGCTTAACATCTCTTCTGTGATGTTT